AGAGGACAGAGGGAATCCCTACCCCCACGAGCAGGGCAGGGCAGCCCACAAGGCCCTTCCCCAGCCTGAGAGAAGGGGGAACAGAGAGGAGGAGACAAGGGTCACCAGACCGCTGGGCCCGCCAAGGAGGAGCCTCCCAGGCCAGCAGAACTGAGGCCCTGGGCTAGGAACCCTTCCATGCATCTTCGCTAGCCCAGAGACCATCTGCCCGGAGATCATGTCTCTTGTCTATCATTTTTTTAAAAGGATGAAACATAAGGTGCCTGTAACTGCATGGGGTCTCCCTACTCTAGGCTTCAGGGTTGCAGCAGGAAGGGGTGAGGCCCTGCTGGGCAGGAGGGGAAGGAGGCAGAGACAGGTGAGCCCCCTAGCCAGGGGATACAGCCAGGTCCAGCGCAGCACGGCCAAGGGAGGTCAGGAACCAGGGTGTGGCCCGCAGCAGGTACTCGGGCCGCCGGTCATGAGCCACAATGGCTGAGGCGTAGAGGAGGCCGGCCAGGGCGGACAGGAGCCGCATCCACAGGTGGAGAGCGGGCAACGTCTTCCCCTGGCACTGGGCACAGAGCAGAGAGCACTTACGCAAAGAACATGCCACCCATGCACCCTCCATGCCGATTCTGAGGCTTTCTTACCCTTATATAGGTATGCATAAATACCATGCATTCTAATCCTATATCATTCTAGAACCTGTAGGGAGACCTCAAGAGAGATGGACTGACATGGTGGCTGCAGCAATGGGCTCCAACATAACAACTGTGAGGATGGCCCGGGGCTGGTGGAGTCTCATTGTGTAGGATCACTAGGGATTGGAACCGGCTCGGCTTGATGACACCCAGTCACAATAGCAGACTCCCAGGTGATGCAGACAAGTTCCCCTTGTCTAGCTACTGACTGTAAAGGTTGGCACTTTGAGCCAATCGGTGATCTCCTTCTGGAAAGCTTCCAGCCAAGAAAACTCTACGGAGCAGTTTTACCCCATAACATGCGACACATGGGGTCACAGTGAGTTGGAATTGACTTGATGGCAGCTTAACAAATATATGCAAATGCCACATGTACATCCATGTGTATGTGTGATAGACACGCATGGACTAGATAACGCATCTAACGTACTGTATGTGTAA